GTCTGTACAAAGATCCCTGCTAGTAACCCTGTGCTGCCAGGCACAGGACAGAGAACGGTTCACAGCCATGCCTGCTGCTGTCATGATAACTAAGCAAGCCTCTGCTAGAGGAGCACAGCTAGACAGACAGCTAGACAGACTAGGTGGAAGTGTGAGGTAGCGTGGCCGAGTGGTCTAAGGCGCTGGATCTGAAGTCATGTGCTGTTATGTGCTGTCATGTGCTGTCATGTGACGTCTCTCTTTCTACTGTGTGTACACTGTGTGTGTCAACCTGCATGTGAACCAAAAAAAAGAAAGAAAAAAGAAACCCCTCCACAATCAACCATTAGTCCTTCTACTCTCTGATGTCAACCCATTGTGTTGTTCTTTGAAAAATATGTCGTTTAATATACTCTGATATGTTGTATATCCAGTCTCTTCGGAGGCGTGGGTTCGAATCCCACCGCTACCGACCAACTTTTTTTCATGTTGGTTTGCGTTGCGCAAACCGTAGTTAACCTACATGTCACAGAGCCGCATCTCCCGCATGGAGATGCCGTCCGCGGACACGCCAAAACCGGCTAAGTCTCATACGAGCTCCGCTTAAGTCGTACGCACTGCCGGGCTCCCGCGTGGGGCCCCACGCAAGCATTTGCAACCGCGACGCGCGTACGGCATGACGTATAAGCCACCTATCAGCCTTGGGTGCAAGCTCACCCAAGGCCACCCTCGCAAGGCAGGAACAAGTAAAGACATTCACCAGTTGTTTGTTGTGCCTGCCCGCCGCAGAAATTGTTTCCCACCCTCCCGCACCATTTAAAAGGCAGGAGGCACGGGTGCTGCCAATGGGCGCCGCAGAGTGCACGCACATCGGCACCATTGAACTATTCATGTGTACTAAGATTTAGTGTTCCGCCGCCATAGCAACCTAGTAGTACACGTAGCCGTTCCGACGGCGCAGGACCCCGCGGGTCGCTTCTGCTGTCCTTGCCTCTCTGATGCGTGATATGTGTACATCATTTATAATCATGACCTCATACTGAGTACATGTACGTCATACTTGATTACCGATCACAGGCTCATGATTATTCATGCTGGAATAAACGCTTGCGACCCCCCACAGGCTCGTCTCTCTTGTGTGGCATGAGGGTTAATCTTTGTTTTCAATGTGGAGGTCGGTGGTGACAGTGAACATAGTGATGTATGAGAGGAGAGGAAGCAAGCCAGTTTCCATAGTGTAGCGGTTATCACGTTCGCCTAACACGCGAAAGGTCCCCGGTTCGATCCCGGGTGGAAACAACCAATGTTTTTTGTTTATTGGTTTGGTGAAGGCCACAGTCCCGGTCATTAGAGAGGTTTCGGAGTACAATTTTCCCTGCCAAAGTCTGTAGAGGCGCCACTGGATTTTTATATCTCTTAATTTGCTAAATCCTATATATAGGATTTTGGTCGTATTTTTCAACTCAAAATGGGTGTGGCATGAGAATAGCAAAAAGTATGTGACCAATTCTTCCTTGCTAGGTCTTAGTAGATATCGAGAGTTGAACAAGACAATTTTTTCAAACACTAACATCTCAGGCTCATCTCCTTGCCCAATATTACTAAGGCCTGTGCCCTATTTTTCGAATCCTATATATCGATCGTGCTGATGAGCCATGGCGTATGGTCAAGAAACTCGGCTCTCTCCTTGGTGATGCAGAGGATGTCACCCGCAGAAAGCAGCTTGCGGCGATAGCGTTTAAGTCCCTCTGCCAGTTATGGAAGAGAAGAGACCAAGTGAGTCTGGAGGTGCGCGTCCGGCTGTATAACTGCTTCGTGTTACCTGTCTTGCTTTACAACTGCTCCACATGGGGCATCACTCGACAGACAATTGAAGCGCTGGAATCGTATCATCGGCGGCAACTTCGGCATATCTTGGGTATCAGGTGGCCCAACCGACTGTCGAACGATTTGGTTTACGAGCGCTGCAGTGCTGCTCCACTTGGCAACATTCTGGTGAATGCAAGATGGCGGTTGTTTGGCCACATCCTGCGATCAGATGAGCACACACCGGCTAGGGAGGCCATGAGTGGATTCTTTGGCTGCTCCGTGCCGGGATACCGTGGGCGGCCGCGGATCACGCTACCAGTCCTGCTGAATCAAGACACGGAGCGAGTCGGCTGCCGTCTGAGGACTCCAAGGGACTTGCAGCTGATGGCTCAGCGAGCACTGGATCGCCGTGAATGGACATATCTGTGCAACGCAGTTACAGATGCGTACAAGGCAGAGTACTGGTGAAGGAAGTTGGCACTGCAATGGTTTGAGCTACATTCTTTGTTGTTGGTACTCTGATTATCCGTATTATCCGTATTCACATGGCCTTTGCCATTCATTCAGTATATTAATGTCATCAATAATGATATTCTTGTTTGTATTAGTTTATGTGACACCATTTTCTATTTTTCTTTGCCTGCCTGCCTGCTGGCGGCCTTTTTTCGCATGGTTCGGTGCAAGCGAATTTGGGCGAGCCCATTGACGCGGGAGCACAAATAATAATAATAATAATAATATATAGGATTTGAGATTTTATTGGACCTTGTTGTATCCTTAAAACTGGTAGTTTCATGACGGCATGTGCGATATGTCATCATGAAACCACCCTGTGCCACACCTGCAATGTTCTTCTGCACATTCACTGCTTCAGTCCTTTCCATGACAGCAGCTGAACAATTATGCTCAAATTTCCAATTATTGCTGAAAATGGGTATTCATCAGAAATATTATCGCCCTATGAATCTAAAATGTAAACATTCATGCATCAAACATATTTACAACTTCCATGAAAACCATTATGCCGTTGTTATTGGTCGTGATGACCAATGACAACGGCATAAAGGCACACATTTTCAAATCCTATATATAGGATTTTGGGCCAGCAAATTAAGAGATACGTTGTTTTGGAGTAGCAAAATGTTCTGGAGAACGTAAATTATGTTTTTGCCGTCATTGCCTAGGGTACGATTGCAAACACATCATATTCCCGCACTTTGCCTTTTTATTTTGAAAAATAATTATTACTTCCGCACTCGATGACGCAAAATCTCCATACGGAACATGGTTCGTATGGAAGCCAGTCCACACGCATTCTCCGGGCCGAAACATCATATGAACCACGCCTATAGATAATCCGAAATGCCCATCCGGATTTTGGCCCGGAAAATCGTACCCCGAAACTTCTCTACTACCAGTATTAAAATTTGAGAGCCTACACACAGAGTCCAGTCATAAAAGATGATTTTCTGGCTTTTGTAGAATAGAGATAAAATATGACTATTATGCTGAATGCGTTGTCATCAGTAGACGTTCTACCAACAGCCATAAAGAGACAAATAGGGTTTAAAAGGACGTGTATTTTATTCCATAAGGAACGTTTTCTTGTGACAATCTTCAGTTGAAATTATCTCTATTTTACGAATTTTGTCTCGTCGTCCACTATCTTGGTTTTGGCCATAAGTTGGTCAAAGTTTTTTTCTTCAAGATTTTATTATTTAAACAGGGCAGTCCCCGCAGGCTCTTTCCTGGCTTCTTCACCGAGAGGTCTAGGTGTTGTTAAAAAAAAATTAAACACCCTGGGAAATGTGCTGGAAAGGCTGCTTGCCAACAGTCACCCTGGCAGTTGTTTGATCAGGATGTTATTCTCAGTAAGCATGAGACGGCTTGGCGACTGTCATCCTGGGTATTGTCTTACCCTGGAAGATGTGCTGTGAGAGCGAGCCTGCTTGGCAACAGTCTCATGCAATGTTGGAGTCGACTCAGTCGAGATCCATAATAGTATTATTGTCCAAGGTGTCTGTACAAAGATCCCTGCTAGTAACCCTGTGCTGCCAGGCACAGGACAGAGAAGCGTTCACAGCCATGCCTGCTGCTGTCATGATAACTAAGCAAGCCTCTGCTAGAGGAGCACAGCTAGACAGACAGCTAGACAGACTAGGTGGAAGTGTGAGGTAGCGTGGCCGAGTGGTCTAAGGCGCTGGATCTGAAGTCATGTGCTGTTATGTGCTGTCATGTGCTGTCACGTGACGTCTCTCTTTCTACTGTGTGTACACTGTGTGTGTCAACCTGCATGTGAACCAAAAAAAAGAAAGAAAAAAAGAAACCCCTCCATAATCAACCATTAGTCCTTCTACTCTCTGATGTCAACCCATTGTGTTGTTCTTTGAAAAATATGTTGTTTAATATACTCTGATATGTTGTATATCCAGTCTCTTCGGAGGCGTGGGTTCGAATCCCACCGCTACCGACCAACTTTTTTTCTCTTTGTTTTCAATGTGGAGGTCGGTGGTGACAGTGAACATAGTGATGTATGGGAGGAGAGGAAGCAAGCCAGTTTCCATAGTGTAGCGGTTATCACGTTCGCCTAACACGCGAAAGGTCCCCGGTTCGATCCCGGGTGGAAACAGTTGTTTCCCTTTGTTTTGCCGAAAGCAAAAGTTAAATATTTTTAGTACTCGGGTGGAGAGCCAAGGATTAATTTTGAAGATTTATCTTTTACTTAATCTGCGAACAGAACTGTTTCACTCACCAGCGCAGCACAGAGAAAATGAGGCCGAACCTGATGGCAATGAAAAATATATTTTCTAATGCCAGATTTAAACCAGGCCCGACCGTACCTTGCTAGAGTGCTCAATCTGACAAGTCAGTGAGCTCTGCATAACGGAAACAGCAAAGGCACTACCTCGCACGAGAGTACTGAACTGCTGCAAGAGCAGGAGCAAAATACGCAATCTGCGGACAGAACTGTTTCGTCCTTTGTGGACTCATCAGTGCAGCACAGAGATTTGCTGCTACAAGAGCAGGAGCGAAATACGCATTCTGCGGACAGAACTGTTTCGTCCTTTGTGGACTCATCAGTGCAGCACAGAGATTTAAAAAAATTTACAATTTGAAGTTTTCCCAATCCTGGTCATTTGCTCAAAATCCGAGTTCAAAATTTCCCAATCCATTCAAATTAAATTTCCGTCCATTGCTGTTTGTGTGTCCAGTTGGGATGAGCTACTGACTCTGACTCGCACACACAAAGATCTCTTGGCAGATGCCAACAAGATCCACCAGTACAACAGATCCGTCGATGACTGCAATGAACGGATACAGGAGAAGGTACTGTGTGCAGTGTATAGTGTTTGTCGCCGTACTGTCTCTCTCCGTACTGTCTCTCTCCGTACTGTGTGCAGTGTATAGTGTTTGTGGCCGTATTGTCTCTCTCCGTACTGTCTCTCTCCATCTCATCTGCATTATATGCGCATGCTCGGTGTCAATAAACCAGTCCTTGCCCTGTTCCGCAATGGACTCCTGCGTGGCTTGCAGGCCGAACACAAAACTGTGCGTCCGCGATACGCACCTGTGACTTTGTGCTTGTTGTTTTCTATTAAACTAGCGGTGGTCAGTTGGTCAGCTTTGCAAGGTTTTTGATTGGTGCAATCCCGGCGCAAGTTGCGATACCTACTACAGTCAACTTCGCTAATAACGACTGCGGATATAACGACAATTCACGAATAACGACATAATTTTCATGCCCGGAGCAAAGTCCCAACCAACTGTGACACATATAATGAGACTTCGGATATAACGACACTTCGCGAATAAGTACACTTTTCTGATGCCCCGCCGAGTGTCGTTATAAGCGAAGTTGACTGTATATGGTCAAATGGTGTGTGTGCGTGTGTGTGTGCGCTTGTGTGTGTGTGTGTGTGTATGTGTGTGTGTGTGTGCGTGCGTGTGTGTGTGTGCGTGCGTGTGTGTGTGTGTGTGTGTATGTGTGTGTGTGTGTGTGTGTGTGTGTGTGTGTGTGTGTGTGTGTGTGTGTGTGTGTGTGTGTGCGCTTGTGTGTGTGTGTGTGTGTGTGTGTGCGTGCGCGCGTGCGTGTGTGTGTGCGTGTGTGTGTGTGGGGGGGGGGGGGGGGTGCTATATTGCTTGGCGGTCGACTGAATGTGTGAGGTGGCGGGTGATACCGGTATACTGAAGACTACGTAAGCACATGATTATGCAACTCTGCATATGGGGTCTAGCGCAGCGTGCTATCTGCATTACGTAGCCACGAACTGTGTGGGCCATTGCGTCATTATTGATCTGCTGCGATTTCCTGCTTCCGAATCGACTTTCCTCGGAGAATTCGGATTGTTTTGTACGTGATGCGTCATGCACAGACATTGCCTTTGAGCAGTTGCCATTGTGGTGGGTCTCGTCTACTCACCTCCCGCCGCTTTAGGAGCTGCGTGTGCGCCTTAGGTCTTTGCAGGGTGGTGGTGTTCGTACGGATGCTGAAATCTCAGTCTAGCCGAGTCTGACGCGAACCGTGAATTATTTTTACCGGTATTGCACGTGAAATCGTTGAGGCTAAGCCGTAGGAAAACTCAAACCCAGG